GCGTGGCCAACGCCAGGACTTGCATGTTCTGGCTACATCGTACAGTGGACAACTAAAGGCTAAAACTCCCAATATGATACGCGAATCGGATTTCCATCACGTGGGCGACAAGGTTATATTCTCGACAAGTAGTTTATTTTGCGTGGAACATGAATATTAAGTATTAGAAATTCACAATTTTTCTTTTTATTAGTTTGTTGTTTGTGTTTCATATTTTATCTTTAGATCATGTTATTTTATTTGCTACATACACACAATAAATGTAAAATATCTTTTTCTTTTACACAAAAATGGAAAATTAAAAGATTATAATATAAATATTTTTTGCTAAAATTTCTGAGATTATATTTTAATTTGTTTTAAGAAAAATATTAAAAGATGTGTTATTCTTTTTATCTCTAATGAGTTACATTATTTTCTAAGAAATTACATGGTAAAAGCGTAAAAGCGATTATATTCATTCGCAGACTGGAAAGGTAGCAGATACTGCGAATAATGATACAAATGAAAAAGTTAGCAATGGAGTAGCGGCGAAAGAAAATAATGGAGAAACTCGGCCCGAAAAAGAAAATAAGGAGCAACGAGAAAAACGAAGTTCGTCCAACCAAACGCATCAGTAAGTACAATATATTTAAGAATATCCATACATCTCTATTGCATTACATCAAAGAACTTAATACACACCTATCATACTTCATTATACATTTATAACATCATATTAGAGAGCTTATTTATTTGAGAAATGTTTAATTATTAAATATACTCTCTTAGCCTTTGCACACTCTTTGTCTTCAATGACTTTATTTATCCTAGTTTTGGAGGAAATATAAATTATTAAGAAAGAGCTATGCATAAAAATATATAAACATTCAAACTGAATATTTTCTAAAATTTAATCATTCATTGTACAACAATATGAATTCTTTGAATAGTGAAAACTCTGAAAAGTTCAGAAAGAAAGAAGACAGTAAGGACGTCTCAGAAGCAAAAGAGAAATATATCAAGAAGGAAGAGGTGAAAGAGGATGAGGGATTAGATAAAAAGGATCGCAAATATTATAAGGTAGATGCATACATTAATGTAAGGCTGTGTTATGTTTTTCATAGAATAAGTCATCGAGAAATTGCAAAATAGACAATTCTATACTTTTAAAGTAAAAATGATAAACATTGAACTTTAATGTATTATTGTTCAATACTTGTAAACAGATATTCAAAACTTCATGTTTATTATTATATATTTTTTGCCTCATAATTCAAAATTTAACTTTTTTTCAATTAATTTATAACATTAATTAATTAATTAATTTTAATATAAATTTTATATTTTTAGGAGGAACATTATTATAGCAGTGGTATAGATAATTTAGACCGAGATCTTTCCAGTGTGTCAAATAGTAGCGCTAGTTCGGGACCTACGCAAGAAGGTCCTGAGAGAGGTTTGTATTATAATTAGTATAATAATCAAACATATTGAATATATTTCTAAATTATGGAAGTGTATATGTGTGTGTGTATGTACTTTATTTTTTATATATTTATCTGATATACTATAAATATTTTTAATTGCTTTCATACACATATATGACTATATATTGACACAATGTATTCTAATATTAAGTTATACTCAGTTTCAGATGTAAAAAGAAGAAAAGTAGAGAGTGCCCCAAAGGTGATTATACAGTCTATATTGTACATTATAATCTCTTTTTTCATCTTTCTTTGCATAAATATTTTTGTATCTAGCAGGAAGGGAGACGTGTGGAGGCTATACTTGATAAAAAAGAACGTTCCAGCAAAGGAAAAACGCGTGACGAACAGAAGGAGCAGCGTAGGGAAAAGAAACAAGGACGGAAAAGGGTAATTATCATTTTTATAATTATTCTATACAATCATATCACGCACACATACAATTTGAACCTCAGCGCCATATACATACTATTGTTAAATAAGTTATTATAATAACGCAGGATCGGACGGAAGAATCTATGGTAATTACTGAACAAAAACGAAGAAAAGATGATGAGAGAGGTTTGTAACTATTTTTAATTCTTATTATATAAAAAGAATAAACGTATGAATCGATTTATTAAAGAAAACATTTGGAACAAATATATTGAAATATGGATATATTTTTGTCAGCCAAAAGTACGCATCAGAACGGTGACATTCCTGAACATAGAGAGAAGCATCATTACAGTAAGGTTAGTAGCAATAATCTGCATCTTTTATAACAACGCTATAGTAACAGTTACATTTCTGTTAGTAATCAATCATTTATTTTCTGTTTTATAGCAAGTCTTAATTTTTTCATACGGTTAATTCTTCTATATTTTCTATGAGCAATTATTTCTGCTTTCCATATCTCTACTCTTCCTCTACACTTTTTAAAATTTTGTTCTTAAAATATATCGCCCAGAATATCTTGACTAATAAAAATAAATTCTTATATATTATATATTTCTTTCCAATGTTTTTTATTTGAAAATTTCTATTATATACTCTGATACCCACACACTCATGCACACTGTGAATGCTAGGTTCAAATTTGCATGTAGTGCTTTATAATCAATTATTAGCCTATTTTATAAAAGAATGAGAAACCAAGTCATTACTTTCTTAACAACTTTCTATTACTTGACTTCTCATAGTTGATAAAGATGTCTACTACAAGTACATTAAAAGGACGAAATGGACGCCTATAAGAAAAAAAAAGAAAAAAAAAACTTTCAAGTATCCCCAATGTCGCAAGAAATCACGGCATTCGGGAAATTTATTCAAGAATGTATTTTCAGGAAAAATCTCCATACGCAAAGGATCGACCTCACGAACGCGAAGGACGCGAAAGCCGTGACAAACAATATCCTTTTCTATACATTTAATATTAATGTAGAACTACTTAGCAATATTACAAATAATATTATCATTTTTTTTTTCACAATTAAATAATTTTGTACGATAATGTATTCATACATACACAATTTGATATATTAAACATTGTAACTAATTAAGTGTTAAAATAGCTTTTGCACCATGTACATAGAGTGAATCGTACAATTATTGAGTTGGAGATCATTTTCTTTATGTCTCACTTTTATATCGAAAGATTCTCAATGTCTCTATCAACATGATTTACTTATAAATATATAATTTATGTTTATTAATTGGACTTTTTTATTGGTTGTAGATGATAATAACATTTGGCAATAATTTAACACTTAATTAATTTATATAAATGTTCGATTTTTCTCTCTCTTTTTTTAATATAATGACAGATTTATAATTTACGTGTTACGTAGAACTTTCTAATGCAATACTTTTTTAATTTTATTTCTTCCTTTTTTTTTGAAGAGAAAAGTCCTTAACTGCTCAATAACTGTATGATTTATCCTGTGCACGAAAAAGCACAATTGCTCGGTATGATCCTTAATTCAAGTGCACTAGAAGAAGTTCAGACCCAAAACGAAGATGATGTACAACAACCGAAGGGAGCTCGACTTAACATTTTTTATGCTATGTTTGATGTTGCATGTAATGAACGTAGAATTCGAAATAAAGCAAAAAAAATAGTGGATAATTTGTATATTAATGTTTTAAAACATCCAATTTTATATAAAATAAATTATCTAAATGTCCGATAATTTTTGGTACATGTTTTTCAATTCAGTCTTTTTCTTTCTTCGAGAATGGACGGAGATCACGCAAGTGTAATGTAATTTAATGTAATGCAAAGTGCATTCGCAACAATCGTCAATGGTGCGCATATATATAATAACGATAAATAAATAAATAAATAAATTTTACACAAATATTGTAGAATGCTCTATTCCTGCTACGAAGAGGTGTTGATGAAATTTGAAAAATATTTATCAGCTTTCAAGCTCTCCTCTTCTAGACGTTTCAATCGCATCTTCGCGTCCTTCAGAATATCCTCCGTGGAACTGCTCTCGCTGACGATCGTCGCGTTCGCATTGACAGCTTGAGCGACGGAAACAGGTATTTCGATACCAATCAAACGCGCTTCCTCCAGTTGGCGTGATAATTGCACGCTACGTAGCGTGATCTCTTCTATCCTCAATCGTTGTTCCTGCACGAGACTCGTCAATTCCAGTTTCTCCTGTTGCAGAATTCTACACTCATCTATTATTGCGCGACTCTCTAGGTCAGTTTGCACGTGAATGTCCCTGACATTGCTCTGAGTGCACTGGTTTGACGCGCTTTGCGGCATCTCCTTTTGCATTTTGACCAGTTCTCGTTGCAGTTTCTTCAAACCGCCCTCGAATTTCTTATAACTATTCCGTTCTCTCTGCAATCTGTAAAAAAAAATCATTCGAGATACAAATTTCAAATAGCTAATTTAATCAAAATAAAATATTAATAATTTTCTTTCTTTTATTTTCATAATGCAGAATACCTGTTAGCTTCTTGCGTTAAGAAATTCTGTTTCATAGATAATTCCATCTCCTTCCGCAAGATGAATTCTGCATTACTATCTTTCTTTTCATTCAGCTGCTTTTCTTTCAGTATCAAAGATTGCATTAAATTCTAAGTACATGAACAGAAAAAAAATAGTACAAGAGATATTTATATATTACTAGAGAGCATTATTTTCTATTAAAATCTTTGATCTTTTCTCAATAAAAATTGTCACATTCAATAGTTAATAAAATTTTGATAAAAAAAAAGATCCATTTTTTGTTAACAAAATACTTGATATTTGACAAATACAAATATTTGATATTTAATAATCTTATTAACAAAATATTTAAATCTATTGTTAAACAATAATGATGAATGTAGGACATCTTTATGTAATTGAAGAGAAATATTTTACCTGAGCCTCTGCCACTTTTGCATTTAACAAACTAAGCTGATGTTTGATGACGGAGGCTTGCTGCTTTAATTTGCTCTCTTTCGTTTTCAATTCATCATCGTACAGTTGTTTCTGTTGCATAATTTTCTTCCTTGCTGCACGCATTTTTATCACGTCTGCAAGGTTTGCTTCCAGAATCAAATTAGCTTGCGTTTCCTTGTCATACAAGGCTTTTTTAACCGAGGACTGAGTGTTGATCAGAAATGAAGCTATAGAGCTTAAAATGGATAGCAACAACGGTGCTTCAGTATTCATGTAATTCGATATAATATACTGGCCCTCGGGCCTGTTCGGATCAATGCCCAATGTTTCCAGAGTATGTACTATGTAATCACTTTGCAACTTATTGCTACAACTACCTCTCTCATTATCATTAGCGGAGCCCTGTGGTATGCTGTTGCAAAAGTTTACCAAGAGCGGTACTTCGCTAGCAAATATCGATAGGGTGAAGGAATAATTGTGACTAAGTCACGTCTGCAAGGTTTGCTTCCAGAATCAAATTAGCTTGCGTTTCCTTGTCATACAAGGCTTTTTTAACCGAGGACTGAGTGTTGATCAGAAATGAAGCTATAGAGCTTAAAATGGATAGCAACAACGGTGCTTCAGTATTCATGTAATTCGATATAATATACTGGCCCTCGGGCCTGTTCGGATCAATGCCCAATGTTTCCAGAGTATGTACTATGTAATCACTTTGCAACTTATTGCTACAACTACCTCTCTCATTATCATTAGCGGAGCCCTGTGGTATGCTGTTGCAAAAGTTTACCAAGAGCGGTACTTCGCTAGCAAATATCGATAGGGTGAAGGAATAATTGTGACTAAACAGATACTCGGCTATTAACATATCGTAAACATACTGTTTTGCTGATTTCGCCTCTCTATTCTTACACAGAGTCAGATCTTTATGTTTCAAAGCATTCACCAAGTTTTGGCGCAGGTGTGTTCTGATGTTAGATATAATCCCACATTTCTCAAACCTGTATAGAAAGTAAGATAGATAGTTAATGGTACGAATAAAAATATAGAATTGTATTTATATACATCATACGTTATATATTAAATACATAAATTGATTTATAAATTATAATTACAAATTATAATGTATCACAGGGAATATGATCGAATTTAAATAGCGTTAAAAATAAAAAGCGTTGAGTTGGAAAATTGCAAAAATATAAAGATAACCTTGACATAAATTTTCCATTTTATTGTACAAAATCGAATATGATATACTATCTGTACACAGTTTATATGTTTACCATGTATACACGGTGGAGTAATAATCACCATCCATATCGATTAAAAGAAATACACGTAACGCAATAATATAATAATTATGTGACAAAAGAAACGTCTATAAATACACAGGACGCTCAAACTTTTTGTTATAGTACCCGCCATTTTCAATCGATAAATAAGGAGATTACTTTACCGGCTATTTTTACGTGATTGAACTTACCGATTATTGGTATAGATGATATTTATACTACACGAATAAAACGTTACCTGTTGATGACACCGGAAATAAGTAGCGCTAAAAATTCAAATTTTTTAATGAATAATAGCTTAAATGATTAACTTACTTCCGGTGTTGATGACCGAATAATTTTGACCCGCTTCTTATTAGAATTGGATCAGACCGATGAAAAAGAAGATCGAATAAAACACAAGCATCGTAATTAAGGTATAAATACTTATTTTAATCGATTAATGAGAGTTTTGCGATAAAATAATGTCAAATATAACATTATTCGAATACTTTTTGGTGAGATACATAATACAATTTTGTTATGTATCTAATTAAAAGTTACCCGTATAATATGCCACATTTGATATCATTTTAATCTCAGAAATCTCATTAAACTTATTAAAATGACTTTCACCAAAAAAGAAAAAAAATTAAAAAATTGCAAATTTTAGTTTTTAGTATCGAATAAAGTTAATACAGCTATTGCAACTTCTTTTTTGGCAATAACAAAAATTATATCAAAATCTTTAAATATCACATTAGCCGACGATATTTTATTAGTTCCGGAAATATCGTTTATTTAGCGTTTGCGGTTGTTTTTCAGGCACGGGGGTTGATGAATATAAATGTAAAAGTTTTAACGGAGGACGAAGAGAGACAGAGAAAGGGAGAAAGAGAGAGAGAGAGAACAGAAGAAGATGAGAAAGGGAGGGTGGGCCAATACACAGAGAACGGGCAAACTAGATTCATTAGCACGACATCAGTGCAGCTGCGGCCAAGCCGAAACCTCCTCGGCTCTGTATTCTCGGCTTAGTGGTTTTCGGCGAGTAATTATTGCCCGAAATATATATATATATAAAATCGAGAACTCTTTCTCTCTCTCTCTCTCTCTCATCCGAAGATATTATTACTGATTAAAAATATCGGCTCGCTTTTGCTGAAATATTCCGGCTCTGTAAACTACGAGAGGGATGATATATAGATTTACGTTGCTCATTGTAGGATCGCTTTTACGCGATATTTAGAACGTTTAACTTCAGAATCTCTTTTGAAACAAATTAGAGCTCTTTCTCAGAGACTCTTTATTCTCTTCTACTATTTGTAATTTTTCTATCATCATTAATTATTATATATTTACATATGGAATTCTCTTTATGCGCACATATCGTTACATATACATACGCAATCCGTCCAAATTTAATTTAATTTATAATAAAAGAACAAAATGAGTTCAACGAGAATCTCGTTTTACACATACACGCACACATACATAGATCGGTATCATTAGTACCGTGACTAATTATGCTACGCGACTAACTAAGGGTTAACAACGTCGGCTGGAAGAGAGCCTTCCCCTCCTCCCTCACCCCCTCGCCTACGGTCGGGCTTTGGTCGACGGTCAACCTATAGGCGTGCCGCAGCATGTGCCGGGAACGATTCGCGCGCGGTGCGGCTAGCTGATTAATTAGAACCCTCTACCACTCTGCGCTCTCCCCGGGACCATCGTCAAGGGAACTCGATGTAATTACGGGCATCGGGAGCGCGCGGGCGCTGCGTATAGCGCGGGGGTGGTTGGCGAGAGCAGGGGGACGAGAGATAGGTGGAGAGATGCGAAATGACTGCGCGGGTTGGCCGCCGCCGCGGGGGTGGCACCGAAAAGCACAGTGGTTCGCACGTGTAGTAGCGCATAGTTACCGATGCGGAGGGAATGGTCGGGATGGATATCCGGACGGATCCGGTTAGGACGGTCGGGAAAATCCTCCCCCCCCCCCTCCTCTCGGCGGAGAGAGAAGGCGGTGGAGTTCGACAAACTGGATTCATTACGCCGCGGAAGGAGATGCAGCGGGATAGAGGAGGCAGGGGAGAGGATGTAGAAGCGCGCGGAGAGTTGGAAAAGGGAGGGATGGCGAAGGGGGCTTACGGCGCATCCCCGTCAAAGGGGTAAAGGGGTAGAGTCAACCCCGTCTCGCGATGTTCGATCCGCGATCTTTCGGTCGCTCTATTGGATTTTTGCTTGTCTATTTTTCTTTTTTTTTTTTTCCCGGGGAGAAAGTTCCATTTCTTCGGGATACAATTTTAGATTTATGTGCATCTTCTCTTCGCATTTGGCGCAAAAATACATATATGTACGGAATATTTATTTTGTCTCGTGGGGTCATCTTTTTTTCTCGTAATATATTTCTAATAATTTGCAGCTTGATTTTTAAGCAGTTAAAGCATTCTGTTATGAGAGAAAGTCGGAGATTGATGTGGAAAAATTCGATTTAATGTTTGGTATATTTACACTTTGCGATTACACACACGTGGAAAAAGATTAAAATAACATAAAACATATATAGGGTGTTTCTTTATATAAATATAATTCAATTGGAATAAACGGCAGATTAATTTGACGAGTTTGCACAGTATTCTCAAATATTTTGCGTGAGAAACTCTGCGAGGAAATTTCTTCACCGCAACCACATCCTGAGTATTACCAGGAAGATTTCCGGTTAATTTGCTTCCTATTGGACGGGCCGGTTTCTCGTTGCCCATCTCTTTAATATGTTGATGTTCCTCCTCATCATCCCCTCGATCGATCTCCTTCTCCTTCTGTCTCTCTATATTTCTTCCTTTTCCGTTTCCTTCTCCTATTCAACCCTTCTACGATTCTTATTTATCCGCATCTCTTCCCACCAGCAGTGTCTATTACGATTTCCTTCTATTTTCGATTTTTTCGCAAAAATTGCTTGAAAAACATCGCATATTTTTATATTGCACTTTTCTGTTATGGTAATATATTTAAAAAATAGATTATTATAATATATCATCGTTTTTTAGAAATTACTGAATTCCATCGCATTAATTTGTTTTGTTAAAGCTTGATAAATTCCATGAGATTCAATCTCTCGCATTTATATAGTGACAGTTATTAAATAAAATCATCAAAGAGTCTTTTCCTCTCTCTCTCTCTCTCGTTTGCGAAAATAATCGATTACGCAATAATCAATCACCATAATAATCACCAAGAGCCGCGTATTCGCGTGAGATCGCAGCTTTTCCCGCTACGGCAAGTTTCCCGCGTTACATCCGTCGACGATGGTCTCGTCTCAGATCCGCTTTAAGTGATTACTGCACATTTCCATACGCGGAACGGAACGCCGAAGAACGGAAACAATGTATCCCCGGAACAAGCGGCTCGAATATCGCGCATTGTGCTCCCCGATATCGCGGCGATTCGCTAAACAAAACGGCCACTGGTTCGCCACTCCTCCTCCCAAACATTTTCCCGCCACCGGGTACGGGAGACGTTCCTGCCCGAGCAACCCTCCTCTGGATCCGCTTCTTTCGTCCCGCCAACCGCGGGGAACGAATGGTATTCGTTAATGCGCGGAAATAACAACGGGCGATACGAGATGCGCTTTCACGTCGGTGAACCATAAAGCTCCGCATTAGAAGCTGCACATCACTTTATTGAGATTGAGATTTTGTTTGCGATTGATAATCTTAATCGTGATCGATTGCATACAGATGCATCAAATATTTTAACACGTGTAATGAAAAAATAATTTAAATTAATCTCTTTCGCCTTTTGTGTTTTTATCACGCATAGTGTTCCGGGAAACTTGCCCTAGATAATTTTGTTATATATTTTATTTTATTTTATTTTGTTAATATTTATATATTCTATTTTAACAAAATGTATATTTGTGTCTTTTATATATAACTTGACCTTATGATAGCGTTATTAAGAAAAATAATAGAAATGCTGAAAATTATATAATTAAAATATATTGCGCGATTAAGAATTAATCTGAGCTCGAAATTCAAATAAAGGGTCACAAAGTCAAATATGTCAAATGTCATGTTAGACTAAAGTCAAAATATAGAAAAATAAATGTAAAAATATATGTTTCCTTAAAGTAGTACGTGTATTTCTATATAAATACGTGGCCAGAAAATTTTTCCATATATCTGACAATGAGATTAATTTTGAAATACAAGAAACGCGCGAGGCAAATACGAGATCTGAATTATCGAATGAGTTCGACATGAATGTTCTACAAAGTTTTCGTTACGACCGTACGGAGCGTTGTCGTCGATAAATACATGTCAAAACATATGATTTGTCAAATGTCACGCTCAGCTGATTGCAACGATGATTAACGGTGTCGTAAAAATATTGCATACGGTCAGTTCCTGCTAGTTGCACACACGTCAGCGCGACTGACAAGTCGAACATGAATCGCGAAATCATGGGAAAGTGGACGATAAATCGCGCCTGCATTTTTATCGTCTTGATATCCCTATGTGCGAATACCGGTCATTGTTTACGTGAAGAAGGAGATGGAAAGAGAGATTCACCGGTGCCGATAGTACTCTGGCACGGAATGGGTGAGTTTTATTATTGTGCATTACGACTATTTTCACTATATTAGATAATTATAATTAATATAATTATTAGCTTGTTTGAGTTGTAACATTTTTCACATCTATAATATTTTTATGCGAATGTAAAATTTGATATCCATCTGTCAAATGTGTTAATTCAATCTAATTTTATTTTAAAGAACGCCCCCTTCCCCTCTTCCCGTACTTACTTTAAAGGAATTACAATCTTATTGTAAAAAACGATATATATTTATCGGTGTTTGCTACACATGTAAATATATTATGATATCCTCGTTATCGCCTAAAAATAAAGTGAGTTGTATATGAAAATTTCTTTCTATAATTATAGATTGGTAAACATCAGTAAACTTAAAATGAATATTTAAAGAGAAATAAAACGAATATCATTTGTTGTGTCAAGGTTCACATTATAGAGATGCCTTGTAATTAATTAATTAATCTTTAGAATTTTTAGCTCAAAGTATAAGCTCTTATCTCAGATGTTATCTTTTTAAAATATCATATTAATAAATGTAATAATATGTTTGCAAGTGCATAGAATTTTTGAAACGTTTCTTTCTCATATAACTTGAAATATTATATTTTATTTTATAATTAATCAATCATTACTTTTCAGAATTTTCTGTTTTATTTAGCTATGGTGATTAAAGCATATCTTTTGCAGGTGATAGCTGCTGCTTCTCTTTCAGTCTTGGAAAGATACAAGAAATTCTTCAGAATGAAATACCTGGAGTCTATATCCATTCTATACGCATCGGAGATAATGTTATAGAGGTTGGACATAAAGTTGTCTCTCTCGATAGTCGAAAGCATATTTTATTAGAAAAATATCATAGTAGCATAAAATTTATCTTACTTTTTTATTCTATCCTACCTGTATCCTTGCCTTATGTATTTATCTTCATTTAATTAATTTATTCTAATCTTACTCTAATAATAGACGTTTTTA